TATATGTATATAAAATATATACATATTATAATACTTTATCAACTACATCATCATTCTTATATTTGAATAAAACTAGGACTTTAATACATGTAATAATCAGCCCAATAATTTAAAACACTTCTATCTTATATAATCTAACATTTTTTCAGTAGTTTAAGACTTCAAAGAATAAATATTTCTAGTGAAAATTTTAATTTCCAAGGCACTACCTTCTGAAGAAAAAGCTTCATACTCAAAAAAAAAAGTCTATCAGATTTAATATACTACAAAAATAAAGGAAAAATTGTATGAATTTTAGAAATGGTTGTGAAACAAGTGAGCCAGCATGTCCTCAAATTATAATTAGGTGGGTATCATAAGGTCAATTGCAATTTTTGTACTGCCATTTTGTTTTACATTTACCTATCTTCATTTCAAGGACCCCAGAAAGTTTTCAGAGACAGTATTTTTTACATTCACTGGCAAAAGGAACATCTTGCACAACTAAAAATAAGAAAATTGAGATCCAGGTTTTCTATAGGTTAAACTCGTAAAGCATGTCAGTAGCAAAGCAGAAAAGAGTAAGTTCAAATTTAAGTACACAGTTCTTAACCTCTCTGTAGCAAGATATCCTGCAATGTGACAGACTTCAATGGGTTCTCTGTATCAGAATTACACTAATGAAATTGAACATTAGGAAGTCCTGCAAGGAGATCCAACATTTTGCCTGGCAGCCAGATGCTATCCCCATTGAGAAATCTAACTCCACTGAGAGTGCTCTATTCCCAGTAATGCCAACGCACATCATGTAAAAGATGAGTGGGACCAGCTTTGACTATGAAATTACTGACTAGATATATAAGGGGAAGAACTCGAAAAAGTGAAAGGGAAACAGCTTCTTCCCTCTTCAGTAGAAGAGTTCCATCAGAAAGAACTAATTTCTACAACTCCATTTGTCTACTTACATACTGCAAGTGCTGAGAAAGGCAATAGTTAGACTTTGAAGATGGGATGAAACAAATCAAAATGAATCAAAACAAATCTGGAATATTTCAGTTGCCTTATGACAAGCATGTTACTTAGAACAAGATACAAATGAAAAATGGGTATTTAAAATCAATCCTTAGAATGTATACCTATGCAAAAAGAAGAAATCATAGAATCATAAAATAGTTTGAGTTGGAAGGGACATTTAAGAGTCATCTAGTCCAAACTCCCTGCTATGGACAGGGACATTTTCAACCAGAACATATTGCTCAGAGCCCCGTCCAAACTGACCATAAAAGTTTCCAGGGATGGGGCATCTACCACCTCTCTGGGCAACATGTTCCAGGGTGTCACCACCATCATTGTAAAAAATGTCTTCCTTATATCTAGTCTAAATCTACCCTTTTTTTTTTTGTTTAAAATGATCACCCCTTGTCCTATTGCAGCAGGCTCTGCTAAAAAAATCTGGCCCCATCTTTCTTATAAGCCCCCTTGAAATGCTGCAATAAGGTCTCCCCGGAGCCTTCTCTTCTCCAGACTGAACAAGCCCAACTCTCTCAGCCTGTCCCCATAGCAGAGGTGCTCCAGCCCTCGGAGCATCTTCATGGCCTCCTCTGGACAAGTTACAACCGGTCTATAGCCTTCTGATGTTGGGGGCCCCTCAGCTGGATGCAGTACTCCAGGTGAGGTCTCACCAGAGCAGAGTAGAGGGGGAGAATCCCCTCCCTCGACCTGCTGGCCACACTTCTCCTGATGCAGCCCAGGATACGGTTGGCTTTCTGGACTGCCAGCGCACACTGCCGGCTCATGTCCAGCTTACCATCCACCAATACTCCCACGTCCTTCCTGGCAGGCCTGGTCTCAATCCCTTCATTCCCCCAGCCAAGGTTGTTACAGGGGTTGCCCCAACCCACATGCAGGACCTTACCCTTGGCCTTGTTGAGCCTCATGACATTCATGGACCCACTTTTTAAGCTTGTCCAGTTCCCTCTTGATGGCATCCCCTTCCCTCACAAATGTCAACAACATACGAGGGCATTACAGGTACATTGTCAACACGTGGCAAGTCAGTACAAATTATAGCTTTAAACAGCCTAGTATTCTTGCATCAAATCATTTAGTCTATTAAGGAATCCTACCGAAAAGTAAATAGTAAACTGTGAGGGGAAAAAAAAGCATTACATCTAAATTTGCCTATTCATTGGCAATTTCCTGGGTTCGGTTCTGCAATTCTTAGCTCTTTATCCGACTGAAAGCACAATTATTAGACAGATTAAAACCAGCATTATTTTTAATCAGATAATGAAAGGTAATAATGAAGCAGAAAACAGTAACAGCATTTCCTACCTTTCCTATTACATGGCCATTGGCGAGAGCAAGAGCAAGACGTGGCATCTGATGACTGCTAAATATACATATGTTTCTCCCTCTGACATTTACATCAAAAAGACCTAAGAGTTAAATGAAAAAAATGTTAGAAGTATGAGAGTATATTAATTCATATTTGCATTTAATTACGATCAATGATTTATAATTTTCAAGGGAGAAGAATGAATCAAGTGTTTAACTCAACACTTTGACCTCTCTGATCAATCAATCCCCTCATTTCTTCAGAAAAGGGCATCTAGGGACTGCTGTCTACTTCACTGCCTTGAGAGGAAAAACCCTGAGAGCTAATGATAAGGAACAGATTTCTTTAGATCAGCATATATGTTTAAAAATCGAAAAACAAAGACCAAAAAAAAAAAAAACCCCACACATATAGAAAGGCACTTAGGAGTCCAGCATAATGAACTTGGCTATAGTAATGAATTTATATGATAAATAATAGATCATGTAGAGCACAAAGCTCTCAGGTAGGAAAAGAGAGTTCATTTTCTTTGTGTCCCTATTAGAATTTGTAAAGCAAATCTTGCAGCATAGCTCATGGCTTCTAAAATGTTAAATCTGGCCAATTTTCCAAACAATTACCTCTTATATCTACAAAATACTGATGAAAGCTTAAGTAGTTCTGCTGGTTTAGGCTGGGGCAGAGATAATTTTCTTCACTGTAGCTGGTATGGGGCAGTTTTTTAACTCAACACTTTGACCTCTCTGATCAATCAATCCCCTCATTTCTTCAGAAAAGGGCATCTAGGGACTGCTGTCTACTTCACTGCCTTGAGAGGAAAAACCCTGAGAGCTAATGATAAGGAACAGATTTCTTTAGATCAGCATATATGTTTAAAAATCCAAAAACAAAGACCAAAAAAAAAAAAAACCCCACACATATAGAAAGGCACTTAGGAGTCCAGCATAATGAACTTGGCTATAGTAATGAATTTATATGATAAATAATAGATCATGTAGAGCACAAAGCTCTCAGGTAGGAAAAGAGAGTTCATTTTCTTTGTGTCCCTATTAGAATTTGTAAAGCAAATCTTGCAGCATAGCTCATGGCTTCTAAAATGTTAAATCTGGCCAATTTTCCAAACAATTACCTCTTATATCTACAAAATACTGATGAAAGCTTAAGTAGTTCTGCTGGTTTAGGCTGGGGCAGAGATAATTTTCTTCACTGTAGCTGGTATGGGGCAGTTTTGGATTTTGTGCTGGAAACAGTGTTGATAACACAGGGATGTTTCTGTTGTTGCTGAGCAGTGCTGACACAGAGCGAAGGCCTTTTCTATTTCTCACCCCACCATTGAGTAGGCTGGGGGTGCACAAGCAGTTGGGAGGGAACACAGCTGGGACAGCTGACCCCAACTGACCAAAGGGATATTCCATACCATATGACATCATGCTCAGCATAGAAAACTGGGGAAAAAGAAGGAAGGGGGGAACATTCAGAGTTATGGCTTTTGTCTTCCCAAGTACCCATTATGCCTGATGGAGCCCTGCTTTCCTGGGGATGGCTGCCTGCTGATGGGAAGTAGTGAATTAATTCCTGGTTTTGCTTTGTCTGAGCACCCAGCTTTTGATTTCTCTACTAAACTGTTTTTATCTCATTTCTCACTTTTTATTCTTCCAATTTTCTTCCTGCCCACACTCCCCACCCCACCCCCCTCAATCCCACTGCACAGGAAGTGAGTGAGCAGCTGTGCGGTGTTTAGTTGCTGGCTGGAGTTAAACCATGACAATAGTGCCATTCCCAGCAGCAACAGCTGATTTTTAAACAGCTGTTCTACCAGCACATTGTTGCCCATCTGTAGGGTGCAGCTGTCTCTGAGGACTCCTGTGGTGTCCATAAAGTAAGATTTTCACCATGTCACTGGCACACAGACAAGGATCATTGTGCCCATTGGGCTAATGCCACAAATTGTAAAATACAGATGGGGCTTCTAGTATTTGGGACAAGATGGGGAGGACACGTAACTGTCACAATGGGTCTTTGCTAATGTTAGCTGAAAAATTAAAAACCCCTAGACCAAATCATCATCTGATATAATTTGCCGTCACCACTTTCAAAACCATTGAATTATTTTGCTTTAGATCTGCTAAAGACAAACAATTCTACCAGTATCTGAAATACAGTTTCCTATTAGGAAAGATAGGTAGATAGTTCATGTCAGAGGACTTTATTCCAAAGTACACACAACAAAGCAGAGCCCCTGAATGAAAATTTAAACAGCTCCCAAGTCAGCACTTGCGGACTTCTGTTGCACATGACTATTCTAGCTGCTTTGTAAATTACTGCACATATAAGTAAAACCAACAAATCTGAAAGAAGTTAAGGGAGAAAGATACTGTTTTGAAGGGAGATTTGCATGATAGGCATCCACATTCCTTTTGTACTTGTGTTTGTTTTGTACACTGAACTATGAAAAAAGAATACGTGGTTATTCCTGTGTCACAAACCACTCCCCTGATATCAGGACAACCTTAGCATATTGTTCAGGCAACTCAAGCTCTTTTTAATTAACAATTTAATTCTTAAGTATTACTAAATCTTTGGGAGGTTGCAAATTACCCTTCATTTTTCTGTCTTCCAATCTCAATTAATTAACAGCCAGTTTATACCAATTTTGGTTTGATCTTTCTACCTACTGATGTTTAGCAGCTGTGCATCAGATTTGGTACTTGCACAATTATACACATTACACATTTAAAACTGTGGAGAGAACACTCATGGATTTTATTTCTAGCATGTTGGAATGCACCAAAATGTATAGAATGCAGTGGAAAATGTCACATGATTATGTTAGAAAAATACCTTTTGAAATGCACCAATTTATAGAAAGAAAAGTGCATCTAGATGAAAATTGGGAAACAGGCTGCAGTGTGAACCAGAATTTTTCATGTTAGGAGATTATGAACTGTGTAGTGCCTAAGTCATCTGATTTGTCTAAATCAAATCAGATACAATCCATCAGGTGAAGACCCAGTGTTAGAAAGCAGTAAAGGTGTGCTTACTCAGTGCAGATTAGAGACCAAATTCCAGCAAGCGGGTAATTTGGTCTGTCACCAACTAAATCACAGTGTGTGATCCTAAATGGATCTCCTTGGAGGAAGGACACTACCGTGCCGTGCAACTGCTTTCAGGCATTTGAGAGTCTTGCAAATCCTAAAGCTGTAGATAGGAGATTTGAGTTAATCAGTGTTTGAGTCACCGAAGAGTTTGAACTCAAGGACCTTACTGCTAACTGATAAGAAGAGCTGTAGTAAAACAGAGTAACATCCACTTTTAATGTTTGTAATATTACTGATCCCCCATATTATACATCTGAGTTTTCTGGTGCAGCTTTTCTAAGGTGCCTTTATAGGCTGTGCTAAGGAGTGCCGATTGCACAGCTCTCCATGTATTCTTTGGTGTGTCCTGAAAGATTCTGTTCCATCACTTTGAAAAAGATGCATGTAAGGTCCCTGGGAAGATGTCAGAAAGGCTGAGCAGTTCCATCTCTACAAAGACAACAAAAATATGTACACCTAATATGATATGTATTAGAGTTGTTAGTAACACAGTAGGTTGGAAGCTGATGAAGAGGCGGCACTGGAAAAGTGCCATTAAAATCAATGACAAGGATGAAACAAAATTAATTATTTTCATATATATATACACACACACACTTCCTATTAATAAACTATACCTGGAAATTTGAAATTATAAAATACTGTAGCTGTCCTTCCCACAGCAGTTCCATGGGGGCATTAAACTGCAGATGACAAGAAGTGTCTATTTGGTAAGCAAAATGCAGTGATGAGATCCCATACGAGATTTTTTGTGCTTTACATGTAAACAAAGTGTATCATTTCTGAGTTCTTACAGCCATTAATGCATGTAAATATTTTAAGTGAGGAAAATGTTTTTTACAACTATCTACTCCTATTCATTACAGGAATCACTATATGAGATCACAGTAACTATAAAGTCCTCCTTTCTCATATCTTTTATGTATACATCCACATGAAAAATACTTTACCATATTTGTTTTTCTTGTCACCAAGAGCATCAACTCTGCTATCTGGATTGAGGCAAATGAAGCCACGGCTGAGCTTGTTGTAAAACTGAAGTATATTGCCTTCCTGAAATTTCCACTTTTCGGCAGCCCACTAGTTTTGTAAACAACAAGCAGAAAAGAATTGTGAGATGACACAGAGAACACCCGACCTGATTTCACTCAAAGCATAATTTGAATGGTTAAATAAAAATAAAAAGGTACATCCTTACAGTTTCCTCTCTCTTGATTTCCAGCTCTCGTCCTGTACAGATAAAAACCATGTAATTAATTTACAGAGCATCCTCATTTCATTTGGCAGAGATGCAGTGAGGCTGCGTTCTCCTCCCCAGCAATTTTCACTTACTTCCTGGAAATGTGCTGGCATCTGTCATAGTCAGTTCTCTGGCAATATTGCCATCATCCTGCCCCTGGTCCAGCCACCTAAAAACCAGAACTCATTTCAGTAATATAACCTTGATTGGCAATTCCCACAGTCCTGTATACATGGCACTTGCATACTGATATTCCCTGTTCTATTTATTAAAGTCTCACCAACAAACAGCAATACACAAATCCAGCTTTAGTGGAATAAGCCTGACTTTGGTAAAAATGGTTTTGTTTGCCTGTTCTTCATGAAATTTAGAAATAAATGCTTTCCTGCATTGAGGTACAAGAGCCTAAGCCAATTATTACAAATCAGAACACTCCTACTGATCCTGGATCGATAACAAAAGGTGCACTGGTCACAGTGTTTGCTCTTCCTGTCTGCAAGTAGGCTACTGCATGATGCAAATTATTCCATGCCCTAGAAAATCCCTATATAGAGAGGCAAATCCAACACAGGCAACAACTTTACCACGTCTGAACTATACTTTCACAATGCCATTGTACCTGCTTCACATCTACTTACATAAGTTAAGTCTAACTCCATTTGAGTCAAAAGGATTCACACGCCCTGAGAGTAAGATCAGCAAGCACAGCGTCGAGCTCTAACGATAACTAGCACATACCCAGTATTTTTCTGCCTGAAATGGATTTGAACTCTCCCTAAATTATGTATGAAGCTAGCATTATAGATCTCTTCAGAGCAGTTCATCTCATCTAGAATACAGAATCAAAATTAGGTCAGGCAAAGATGAGGTGCTGTATCTGATAGGCAGAAAACCCTTACTCACACATAAATCAGTTTCAGTGTGCACATCGCTCACTGCGAGCTGTCTCAGGCAATTATTTATTCACTCAGAGAAGTGAGAGGAGGAAATAGAATTGAGGTGCCACTGGCAAGCTGCAGCTAGATTCATACGTGACTGGACTTTACCATTTCTAATATTTGCACTGATCTTTATCAATTTAATTTTTTCTGTAAGAAGTTGAGAATTAATCAGGTGTAGATAAAATCAGAAATGAGCTATAGAACAGAAGATTCAGAGCAGCAGCATCTGCAGGGGAGAAGGCAGGAAAGCTAGGATTGCTTCAAATTACGTTGCAGCTCAGTGACAGGCTGCAAGGCAAATGAGAATGAGATGTGGTCAGGTAGCTACATTTGTGATAGCCATTTCCCAAGTCTGATCCTGAGCTCACTGAACCCCAAGTTAATCTCCATGCTAACTCCAGTAAGGTAGGTACACTCTGCAAGAGAGACAGCAACCCACTCTTCTGGAAAGCCTTGCATCACATGACATGGAAGAATGGATGGACCTGCTGGTGTCAAATCCAAGGTGTTGGATATGGGGAATGTGTCAAAAAAGCACGTCTTGAAAAGTTTGCAAGGCACAAGAATGGAAAGTTCCCAGGCAGAACATTTTATTGCTTTTTCATTAGCTCAAAGGCACCAGAGATTTGGGGCAGTTACAACTCAGAGCTGTAAAAGGAATCAGACCATTTCAGCTTACTTTTTAGGAAACACATTTTTCCCTTGACAGAACATTTTAGAAGAAAAACTGTAACTACAAATTTATTAAAAACCTAACCTAAGCGAAACACTACTAACCTGTGACAAAGAAAAGTATAATCCAAATCTGTTACAGGATCCTTGATTACGACTTTATCCAGATACCAGCCATTTCCTAGAATAAATTATAAAGAATAAGTTAGCTCATGAGAGGCAGATTTAATGATGTCTGACTTCCTATGGCCTTCTCTCTTCTAGTGGAACTGCAGAGTCTGCCAGTAGAGCTGCAGGTTGCTAGTGTCACATCTGCCCTGATTCTGGAGATGTCTCGGATACTGTAGAGCTTCCTTTCAGGTCTGCAAGCTGCTAGGTCCCCTCCCTGGCTGACACGGCCCCGAGTGCTGCACGTCCCCAACTCATTTAACATAGTCCTTCCACGAGATGTGCTTGCTTTGCCAATCACACAAGATTAGATAGCAGCTTATCATGGGTCAAAATAAGCTGCTGTGTTTTACAATATTTAGGCTCAAGAGTTTGAAAAACAGGTCTTGTGACTGCAAGCAATTCGAGTTTAGCTGTTAATTGGGTGTCTAATGACAAGATAGTGAAGCCAAAGTCTCCAACCGCATCTTTACACTGTAACTGATAATGCTAATCAACCTAAAATTATAATAGCCCATTTTATCTATAACACAGACTGCACAAGACATTCAATGTCTTATCATACAGACACTCCCCCTCCTCACAGTTTTTCCATGGGGATTCGTCAAAAATGTCAGAACAGCAGCAGATGGTGTCCTTAACATAATGGTTGAGAGTATAGTGAAAGGGAACACCATATATATTTGAGATTTATGATGATACAATAAGGTAATTGTGTCACTCGAACAGTTTCCTTAGAAGCTTTTGTCTTCTAAAATGTTTTCATATATTCAGTTTTAGAAATGTATATCATATTTCAAAGAAAAGGTTAATAACTTTGCAGCAGTATTCAGTGACAAGAGATATTGCTGACCTGATCCAAGACCATTGTGTCCTATAACAATCTTGTACAAATGTCCAAGGTGCACGGCTTCAACAGTAAAGATGTCAGTCTGTAATCAAACAACAGAATTTTAGTAAAGTCAAAAAAGTAGAGCATTCTTCAACCATGGAAACCCAAAGACTCATAAAGCCATAGAACTCCTCTGTCAAGGTCATCCTTTGAAATATCAGCTAATAAGGTGAGAGCAAAGCAAGGAGAGGTTTCCTGAAATAAAAGAAGTAAGCCTGATCGCTTTGCTAATGGGAGTAGTTCAAATGAACAGGATCAGAGCCAGAAAGGAGAAACCTGCTGAAAGCTAAATTGGCTAAACAATTACAAATTAAAGCAGGTTTCAGCATTAGAAATGCAGATATAAAATGTAAAGTTTCATTTTCTCTTCATTTATTCACTCAAATTTTTAGAGGGATTAACCCCTAAAGTACAAAACTTACATATTTTATAAATGAGAATTCTGTCTTCCAAAAGCACTGGTACACCTTTAGAAACTATTTTTGGCTTAATTATGTAATACTAGGGAAACAGTAATTATCTCTTTTCTAATTGCACCTTGCCTGGGATAACCACCCACCTGAGAGAGAAAAGCCAGTCAAACATATCAGAAAATGCCCTGTCTTTCACTTACTTGTCCTTTCAAAAATTTCTTGGGTTTCTGTGACCTGAGCAGCTGTCTTGATCCTGTATCACCTCTTTCTCCATAGACAGAAATATAGACATCAGCCTCAGTTCCAGCATTCCACAGTTCTCCTGTTGTCACATGCACTTCATAGTCAGTCACTGACAATAAAAGATGACAACTTTTCATATCACAAGCACTATTATAGTTACAATAACATCTAGCTGTGAATGTGCCCGTAGAGTCCAAATACATCTCTGTCAAGAACAGTCAGAGTAGAAGCCTTAAAATTCCTATTCAATACTAAGTAAAATAATGTACACACTTGCATTGGTGTTACATTTATGCTTTTTATCCCAGAATGTCACCATGGGAAATGCAGACAGAGTTGAGCTTTAAATGCACAATAATATATATGTCTTTGTCATGCAGCAGCATTTTAAATTATCATAAAGCTGAAAAATAAATAACATAAATCCAAGATTAGCCTCACCATAAGTAGTGAGATCAAAACTGTAACAAGCAACAGGAGCCATTAATGCTTTGAATACAATGGTTAACCCACCAAGTAGAAACTATGGTGGTAGATTTTATTTCTCTAGGACTTCAGAACTCAGAAATCTGTATTGGTTTATTATTTTACTGATTCATGCAATAGGATAACATAGACATTACATTCTATTACATTCCTATGGAAATTCTTTAGATGCTGTAAATCTGAGGAAAACTTAGGACTTCTATTAAATAACCAATTTATTGAATTTAAGTGAATACTGCAAATTAAATTTGAGTCAAAATCCAATGAAACTGCAATAAACACTATGATAAATAAAAATTTTAAAATTGTGGTCATTAAATGCAGACATAGGACCCCCATAAAATTCAGAATTAAGATAAAGACATGCAATCCTGTTCTTGAGTAGAAACATGGAAAAGTTTATGCCAACATACAGCATGGAGGCTTAAAATAGCTAACTTAAATTCAAGAAATTTTCAGAAGTGTTTACATTTCTCTTTGCCTCTCATAAGCCTAGGGATCATCCCAGCTTTATAATAAGTATTTATGAGTATTTATAATGCTTACAGCTTTTATCCTAGGAAATAGTGACTTTCTTAATGGAATGAAGCTGCATTGGGGAAGTTCAAACTGGAAATTAGGAAAAGGTTCTGCACTGAGAGGGTGCTCGGTCACTGGAAAAGGCTCCCCAAGGAAGTGGTCACACCACCAAGCCTGTCAGTTCAAGGAACATCTGGAAGACAATCTTAGTCATAGGGTTTAGCTTTAGGTAGTCCTGCAAGGAGCAGGGAGTAGGACTTGATGATCCTTATGGGTCCTTTCCAACTTGAGATATTCTATGATTCTATCCTTTAGATATTCCATGGAAAAGTGGCAGAACAGACATTAAGAGAAGGAACTGTATTTTTACATCTATTTTTGTCTGTAAGTGTAGAATGTTACATCAGTAAACACATTGTTCTGAAATTCGTAAGTGTAAGGCTTAAGACTCTTTACAAAATTTAATTTTTTCCCCTATGCCTACGAATTATGAGAGATAGAACAAGGAGGTAAAACACTTTTTTTTCAGATCAACTATTATTTGGACAAAAGCCAGCCACATTTAAGGCACAGAAGTTTTTGACAGTCTTTACTTAGCAGCATAGTCATGTACTATTTATACTCAGAGTACACCTGTCTCAATACTTAAAATAGTTTTCATTTAGGAACTGTTAATTAATACTGTATTTTACTCACCTCATTTACCATGTCACCATCTGACCTATTTACTTCCCCAATATTTTCTTTACAGCACCCACATGAACAGGTATTCCATGCACAGACCATGGCAGAGTCAGAGAATACATTTCTCCAGACCAACCATCCCACATGTAAGACCACAATCTTCTCTATTCTTCCTACAATTCCCTCCATTAACTATCTAATTCCCAGTTTTTACAAGAAGAAATGCAAAGCTCCACCAGCCACCAAACGCTGTGTAATTCTGCTTTATCCCCAGCAAGTAGTTCATCATCATATATTAAAAAATTGTCATAAAACATGAGCAGAAGGGGACAAAAGTAGGATGGTTGAGGATGAAAAGTCAAGCAAAGGATGGTTGAGCATGAAAAGTCAAAGGAAGGATCATGGAGGATGAAAAGTCAAACAAATGGTGCTCAGTCCCACAATATTAGAGTCACAGAGTCTCTATGTAATACTTCTTAACAGTTTAATTCAGATGTTTTCCCTTTGAATAAAAAAGGCTGTCAAATCAGAAAGTGTTTCAGCCTCTTTTTATGCAGAAATTGGTTTTAAAGTGCCTCTCGTCATCTCTCTTTCAGATTGAATCCAGACCTCTTCACTGTTCTGTTATCAAACTGTCTTCTCTGAAGTTAAAAGCTATGTTCCCTTTTCACTGCCTCATGCAGAAATATAATATTGGCAAAAAGACACAGAGCCTGTCTTTCAATTACTATGTTAGAGATGAAACTGCCTTCTCCAAAGCCTTCAGCATGACCTTTCTTATACTGAGGCTGGCAGAAACACACAGAAATTCTTTTCTTCCTCCCTTGTGTGAGGTAGAAATTGTTAACTACAAAATGCAGATCGAGAGGATGGTTTAAGTGTGCTGTTGTACTTCATAATGCACCAGGATTACTTGATAATAAAAATCTGTTGTTGTATCTTTATCTCAGAAACAAGAAAACAACCTACTCAAAGAAAAGCCTGAAAATCAGAAGGTGGGTAAGGTCAGTGTCCCAGAATAGAACATCTGGGGAGGAAGAGATACTGCAAGTTGGGGATTGGACCATATTCAATATAACATACTAATGACCATTAATTAACATTTATTTAAAAGGGAGGGGTGTGTTGGTTTTCATACCATTATGCTTCTATGTCTCCCTACAATAATAAAGTCCCTCAACAAAAGAGACCAAACCTATGACGATGCAAGCTGACTGCCCCTGAGGCCTTTCATGCCCTCAAGGGTATGAAGATCATAACCACTCAACATCAAAAATCACTGTGGTTAGGGCTGGCTAGCCTCCCCCTAAAGTATTTTATGAGTCATTTACAGCTGCTAACTACATCACTGGAGGAAATCCCTCCTGCTATTCTTTTTCTCTTAAAGGCATATTAATGAGGCACAAACCTGGTTTTCTGCTCTTCTTTTCAGGCTTTTAATCTCAGTGCTCAGTAATCGTAGATAGGCATAAATACAGCTCCAGGCCACCCAGCTCTTTATTATGAGAGTTACTGTCCCATAGTACATTTCCCCACATCCATGGGCCATTTTCTGGACTTCTGCCCCTCAATTTCATTTATATCCTCTTCCTCTAGCCTGTACCCACAACAGCTGTTACCATTGAAATGCCTGTTACCATTTCATTTTTGCAAGAACATGAAGTAGGATAAACATATTCCAAGTATAGCTACTGTAATAAACTTTCTGAAAAAGGGGGATCATATTTTTTAGAGAACTCTGAATGGTAATTTCTCTCATCCAATCAATCTTGTCCTCTGCAGCTGATATGAGTTTTTGGGGAAGGGAAGAAAGGAAGGTGTGGAATCTGCCCCAGGTGGATCTCACTCTAATGAATGCTCCAGCACAAATAATACTGATGTTGTTATGACTTTTCCCCCTCTCCCATCACACCCCACAGGATGGGAATATGCCCCAGCATTCTTGATCCCTCACCCACATCTTCCTGAGGATACACTGATCTTGTACTTTCCTTAGGCCGGAAAAGAACAATGCCATTTGGAGAGAAGAAGAGCAAGCACAGACTTTTCACCTCCATCCTGTTGCTGGAACAGAGAGACCATACAGCAACAACATCCAGCAAGGGTGACAGGGATTGGTGTAGTAGAGCAGGACATTAAAATAGAATAACAGCAGCAACACCCAATAATTATTTGTTGTTTGGCATCATTCACCTTTAGAATTACAATACAATCTTTATGGGAGCAATGGAGTTTTTAACACTTATAGCTTCTGAAACGTTAAAAGTTTTTTTCCACACACAGAAATTAAAAGTATTCTGGAAGCCTGTGTCAACCATTTACAAGAAAGAAACTAAACCAGCAGTTTCAATAGTCATACTGGAGCTATAATCCTCAGTTATTGAAAATAGTTTGCGATCTGGCTCACATATGCTGACTTCATGGTAGTTATATATATGTGAGGTGTCTTTACTATTGTCGCTATTTTAAAGCAAACACAAATGCCCAAAGTCTTACCAAAGAAGGAGTCTTTTTGAAGGACCTGTGAAATTCAAAGCATTAAAGACATTCCCATCTCCTTTCCAGTGATTCTTAACTTTTACCTGAGCGTGCCAAGTAACCACAGGAAAACAACTCATAGAAAGTGTTATAGTAGCCAAAAATTAATAGAGGGCCTGATGGAAAACAACAAACTCTCCTCTATCGGCATCAGTCTGTGGCCTGACTTAGCTGATGTGATACTGTGCTTACCTGGAAGAATAGGCTGACCCTGATGTAAAACAGGAAGCTCCATAGATATTTCTCCATCAGCCCGATCCCAGGCCAGCCATCGATGCGCAGGGAAAGAAAACTGCTCGCCTGAGAAAAGGTTCAGCAACTGCACCTAAACAGCACCAAGAATTGCAACTTAAGTTGCTCATCTCAGTCCAGGTTGAACAGAACATGAAATGTGTGGGATGCTGTTGAAACCTGTGCAGGTAGAGCTCTGTGGCATGATCACAAAACCATAAGTTTAGGGCATGTCTATTCCTTAGATTCAACCTCCCCCTCAGCCAGATTCAAAAGTACAGGGCAGGTTGACTCAAGTGCAGCCAAACCCAGGGTTTAATAGCTCAGGCATAGTCCCACAAAATATAGCAGTGTTGTTCCAGCTGGTATATCCACGTGGGCTGGCACTAGGTGGCATGGCTTACCAAACACGGCAGCAGTCACTGGGAAGCTTGGCAATGCATGTAGTTCAGTTAAAGGAATAGAAATTCCTTTAACTTATTTTCTTATCAGAACAGGAATTAAAGGAACAGGCATTGATTCTTCAACACTGCTTGTGACATAAAGAAACCATAGAAGTGCTAGCCCCAAGAACAGTCTGCCCCACACAATTTTCTTTCATGCCCAACTTCTAGCATATAGCAACAAAAGGACCATTTGCACACCAGCTGAAGAAAGGAAGGCAGTCTAGTTATTCTGTACTTCAAAGTATTCTTTAGTAAGCATCTCAGAGGCTGCTGTATATTAGAATTGACTCCTGATTAAGCTAATTTATACTAGTAGCTACACTAGATTTTGGACCAGCAGAGAGAAGCAAAGACACTTCTACCTGTAGTTTCACTCCCACTCTGTGCTTTGCAGAATCTGATTTCCTTTATTCGAATACTGAAGAAATTCAGAATTACTGGAATCATTTTTCTCTCTTTTCCTGCTTAAATATTAAACTTTAAAGAAAGAGATTCATCTCGTCTGAAAAATCTGTCACATCTCGGCCTGTAAATATCTACTGATGGATCTTGAAAAAGGAGTTTGGATTTGTGAAGCAGCACCTTTGTGGACATTTTCAGACTGAGATTTGGTGAGGAGACAAAATTCGTAGGCCAATAATCAATGGAACACATTGAAGTGTTGAAAATTTCTTTGAAAATTTTACTGTTCATTTTAATTAATATGTCCTAGCTGGGAAGTGAGAAGGTAAATAATAATAACTCATTTTTTCTTTCCTCTTTTTTTGTAAGACTTCTTCAATCTCTCCATTTAAATGGGTGTCATACAAAGCAAGCAGTGCAGCTTCTAATCACAGTAGATGGTGTACAACAAACCCACAGAAGTCCATTTGTTGAATGAGATTGTATGATAAGCAAAGCTTCTAATGCTAAGATTAAGCATACAAATGAACCCTTTCTATAAGGGAAAACCCAAAGTTGTCTTTTAGATTCTCAGCTCAGACACTTCAGAAATTGCTGGTCCTCTGTGTCACAGGTCAAAGCTAGGAGATATTTTCCACCCTTTCACTGCTTCCATACAAATATTTATGAAAAGAAAGATAACAAGAAACAGAAGGAAGTATCTTAAATTATGTTCTGACTCCAGCATTCCCCCAAACACAGCACAACTGGAAAACAAATACCTAGACTTCATAATAAGGCAATCCTCACCTGAATTTAAGGAGATATAATCCCTATAATTCTAGCATGACATATCTTAGACAAACTGATACTACCAGTGACACAATATTTTAATGTAGACATGTATTGACTAGAGGTATAAACTCACAGGATCTTGCCTAAACTTCAGTGAGCACCGCCCAAAACTCACTTAGCCTTTTTTTCTAAGTCTCAGACCTAGGTGAAAACAACTAGTTAAAGCATCAAATAGCCACAGAGTTTGAACATTGATCAGTGAATATTTAACTTCAGTGAACACTTTGCATTACATAGGTCTAGATTTACCCTGAAGTATGATTATAACAATGAGTTTACCAGCAGCTTCTAAATCCCTTCATAAACTGCTGTCACAGATTCACAGAGTGGAAGGGGTTGGAAGGGACCTCTAGAGATCATCTAGTCCAACCCCCTGCCAGAGCAGGATCACCTAAAGCAGATCACACAGGAACAAGTCCAGGTGACTTTTGAAAGTCTGAAGGGAAGGAGACTCCACCACCTCTCTGGGAAGCCTGTCCCCATGCTCTGTCACTCTTACAGGGAAGAAGGGTTTCTTCATGTTCAATTTGAACCTTCTGTTTTCCAGTTTATGGCCATTGCCCCTAGTCCTGACACTGGACACCACTGAGAAGAGTCTGGCCCCATCCTCCTGACACCACCTTTAATCCCCCACAAAAAAATTCCTTCATAAGTAATCTCTTAAATGAAGCCACAAGCATTTGATGAGGCTAATATATTTATTCCAGGGATTTTTACTGACTCGGATTTTGACTCCACTGTCAGTGACTGCTTTTGGAAAGATAGAATTCTTTCTCACTGCTTTTACCTCTTCACAGTGCCAGGCAGGGGAGTTTCCTGAACTTGTATGTCCTATGCGTATTTTGTAGAGATGCCCTATGTTTCCAGTATTAACCTGTAAAAGAAACACAACTGCCGAAATACAGAAAATTTGTAAAAAAGAAAAGACATGCAACAGAAATTCATTTAGTAACTGTCAGGTGACATTTTTGTTTAGAGGAATTAAATATTCTGATACTTAAACAAGTGTTTCCAAAATATTTTGCTCCACACAATCATTAGGAGCTTGGCTCTTTTAAAGGACAACTCTCAAAAAGCCTGTAGGCCTGCCAACTCCATTTAAATGGCTTCAGGATGCTGCTGTAGCTGTTTTGCTCCCCGCTGAGTATTGGCCTCTGGGAGATGAACACAGAATGTATGTACGATTAAAAAACAACAGTGTCTTGACCCTAAAAACTGGCTCAGTTTAGCATCTATACCACTGACCTGCTACAAAATTGTTTCTGTCTCCTAAGCATACATCTGAGTTTCTTCCTACCTCTCCAGGAAGAGACGCCTTACAATGTTGAAAACAATTGTGTTCAGCTTTGATGTTTCTTTTTACAAATCATTTCAATTAAATCAACCTAAAAAGCTGTATTTGAAAGATGAGCTCCTGGGTTGGCTGGATGAGTGTGTCTAATACAGATAACAGGGTGCTGAGGGAATAACTCTGTGCAAAGATTATTCAAACAACTAGTTATTAACTTAAGTGTAGAAATAGAAAGCTTATTTTCAAGGAAATGGAAACACGTCATAAGTATCTTCCCTCCTCACTCTATCTTTTTTTTTCTTATTACATAGGTTGGATTTGCTGTCCTGTTGTTTCCCATAGCATTCATTTTTATGTTTCCCTTTGCAGTGCAGAGGTGGGTGTGAACAGAGTTCCCTGTATCATGAACTTCCCTGAACTCAGTGTTATAAACAATACAGGCATAGCAGCGAGGACATGCCAGAGTTAACTGACACCTAGCCCACAGCACAAGCAGAGAGGCTTTTCTCTTTCTATACGTTTCAGATTAGGCACTCTTTAATTGTATTCAGTGCTACAGACACTCACCTAAGAAGGAAATTCTACATCCCAAAACATGCATTACCTCCATATTTTGCATTTTAAAGCAAATGGAGATGAAGTTAGTTGCAACAATGCAAGCAGGAAACAGAGCCAACAACTTCTATTGCAAAGAAAACATTTTTATCTTTTAGGTACCTGGTTACTTATTTTATCTACTCCTTTCAATCTTGTATCTGAGCTTCTTTGATATCAGAGATGGAGAATGACATATTATCAGAAGTGCTGGATCCTTCTTAGAAACTTCATCAGGCTGTAGAGGACAAAGAACTGCTTTTCCTGCATCCCAAACAGCTACAAGGCTATTGTGGAAAAGGTAAACCCTTCCTCAATGCTGCCATTAAATACCAGTTCTCAGAAGGGAATTTACTATGCTGGATACTAACAATGGAAACACCTGCTTGTTATATGGCCTCATAGCTGGCACCTGCTGGAGACCCCCACTGCCACTCCCATGAGCAACCTGGTCTTTTGGAGGGTGTCCCTGCCCATGGCAGGCAGGTTGGAACTAGATGATCTTTAAGGTCCCTTCCAACCCAAACCATTCTGTGATGATACATACACAAGTTATGCAGCTTTTGATGAGAGACCTATTCTGGCTCTCTTAAATCACCACGTCACAAGACGGATGGGAGAGAAAACTGTGTAACTGAGCAGAAGCATCTTTAGATAGACAGATGTTATTACTGATTTTAAAACTGCCATTATTTAAATAAAGCAGCAGGTATTTAACAAAGATAAAAATTTACTCCATACCTTAATTCTACACTTCCTTATTTAATTCTTAATATTGTAGCCCCATTTCAAAACTAAACAAGAATCTCTTGTCCTGTGTTGCTCGATATTTTCTTGGGCGCTATGTAAATTAACCAGTAGCTCTTCTTAAACAGAAAAGATATATATTGGATAAAATCAGCTTTAGATAGGTGAGTGGGAAAGGATACTAAAGTTAGTTCTATATTTAAGTCCTTTTTCTTGTTTCTAGATATGTGTGCTATACAAAAATTTACTGTCATTCCATCACATTAATTTTGAAATGTCATGCAATCTGGCAGGATACAAGAGGGCAACAAAATGAATATATATTACTTACTGTGAAGATGTCTTCATTGCCTCTCTGAAATAACTTTCCCTTCTCTCCATCAAGAAAAATAGGCCCCGAACTGCTGCGATCCCCATACAATGTAATATAAACCTTTGAGCTTGTTCCTGCAGATGGCATATCACTGGTGAGGATTGACACCTTCCATTTCCTAGCTATCAAAAGATATAAAGACTCACTGAATTACTTAAACTCGAGATTCTTAAGCAAAATGCATTTCAGTAATCAAAATTCTAAATAATGTCATGCCAATGAATACAGAAATACATATTTCACAAAATTACATCAAGGAAAGAGTTTGCTATGTTGGGCATGCAAAAATAAAGAAATGTCAGATTGCATTCACATCTTTTACTATGCATACGCCATATGACAAAGTAAAATTTGCATGCACGTAAGCCACTTTTCAAACACAGTTTTGAAATGTTGTATTAAATTGTGTCAAATACGGCTTTCTGTTTACTTAAGAAATATTAGCTCTGCCCAATGCAGAGCAAAGGTAGCTCTGGAGTTACAAACTCATCACTTCAAGAATTAGGTTCTCTCAAAGCAAACTAGTTCTGCTGAAAGAGACCTCTTTAAGAAAGGATCTGTATCTCTGTGAAGGTGTGATGGGTTACAGAGATGTAACAGCTTGTTTGGAATCCACTGAAGGATTACCAACAAATCCTTTCATTGCAGCGTTGGCATCTTTCCATGATTCAATTTGATAATTATCAAGACCAAGTATGTGGCTTTAGGTTTGGTTTAGAGGAAGCTGAGTATCAATAGCACTGAATTAAGGGAAAAGTTATCACTGAAGGATGGCTGATAACAGGAAGGAATATTAAGAAAACACCCTCACTCCCAATTATTAGTTGATACCCATCTCAAATGATATACATTTAAGCACCTGTCAAGCTTGCTAAGATCCTTTTTTACCACTGATTAATATCAATGTTTCTTAAAAGAGAACTTCCTTTAAAGTAAAGCAGTAGTAACAAGGGGCCTTACTGACTACAGAAGCCCCCTATCATCTCACGACTCACCTATGCTACGCGTTTTACGTACTAAAAGTGACTTTTCCTGCCATTACAGTATCTTTGATCCTGTCTGCTCTGACTAAAACACTGAAAAATAATATAACGATGGTGAGTAAGCTCATCATGATATGATTAATTTTGTGTTTATTGACTATTTGAGATACTTAAAATAAATCTGCGTATCTTAAACCCCAGGCAATAAGCTACCCTGCAGTTCTGCTGTGAGGTTCAGCAAAACCACTTTTGAGTGTCACGCAGTATATTCAGTGCTAGCCATGAACATTTTCTTAAAGGAGTTAGGGACGTCGATCGCAAATTTATGCTTCAGCAGAATTTTATTTGAGGACTAGTAAAACCCAGGATTTGAGGAATTTGCATATAATTTTCTGTGGCATTTTGGAAAAAAAATAAGGTAGGATTAATATCTTCATTTGCTCATGTTTAGCCATGTCCAAAAATAAAATAAATTTAAGAAATTGATAATTAGGCTGACCTAGGCATGGTGCTTGTCAGTATATTTGTATCTAGAAAATAAATTAGTTGAGAATATGTCCTCCATACCACTTAGCAGTGAAGTCTGAATAATTAATACCACTTCTAATAAAAGGCAGAAAACAAGGCACAGTAAAAGCACATTATGAAATTTAATATATTAATGAGACTTAATGATCTTTAAGGTCCCTTCTGTTTAGTAGGATCTCTAAGTCTTGTTTGTGTCTTGCCATAACCATTGGGCTATACCGATTGAGGAAATTTTTCCATCTGTGTGGTCACTGTGCTTTGTGTTTAAAACACACATACCTTGGGAAATGTGGTATTGCAGAATCAGTAACTATTAAAACATACATTCTCTCCCACGCTCTGAGGGGACAGATGGGGAGATACTAATATAATGCTTGGCTCTGTGAGCCACAACTGATGACAGGTGACCATATAATCCTCCGTGTTAATCTCGCTTATAACTGAGAAACTGGTGTATGTACACAACATCTAAGTCACTCCATGTAGGTGTATCTAACCTCCTGTCTTAATTTAATTTATTAAGGTAAGAAAATTGCATTAAATAGGTTCCCTAATTCTTACAGTGGATTAACATGGTAATTAGACTAATGATAGTTGATAACATTGGTGCTAAAAAGTCAAGTAACTAATTTAACAGTGATAAATTAAAAAATTGAATGGTCTTTCTTTCTTCATAAAGTAAACAGAAAAAACCTTATGCATTTCAGAAATGAAAACCAATAAATGACACCAAAGTATTACTTCTATACACTTAAACTGAGGATCCAAACACTTCTGAGAAATCAGTCATTTCTGATTAGATTTTATGGTATATACATTTTTAGATATGCAAAAACCATGTCATCCAACTTCATATATGTCACACTAGAAATAGTACTGATTACTATAGATCACTATGTGCAATGGCTTCTTCTCCAATATGCTGTTTTCAGTCTCTTGGAACCTTTCCAGTTAATAGTTTCCAGTCTTCACCTCTACCCATATGTGAATATTCACGGCAAAGTCAGTAGACCTGTTTGACCATTTTTTTGCAGATCAGAAGTAGTAAAGATACCCTATAAATTCTCTATTATGTAACTGTTTTGTATATAAGCATGTCATGTGGTGGCAATGACCCGTTTGAAAATTTCATTGTGAGATATTACTGAAAAAAAAAAAAAGCAAAACCCTGGAAAATATTGTCTTTAAATGAAATTTTAGTCTTGACTGTTACTGAAACAGATTTTTGTATTATTTTTTAAATTCATCAATGTTTATATTGTTTCACCATAAAATCAGTCTAAAAAGCCTTTGACATAAAAATGGGAAATTTTCAAAACTAAGGAAGGAAGCTAACAAAGTCAAAATGTAGTATAGCCAAGGAAAATGAAACAAACTAGTAAAAAGGTTATTTAATCATACACATTAAAAGAGAATAAGCAAAGAAGGGCAGTGTACCCTATGTGCTGAATTTGAGAAGACAAACTAATCATGCCTTTCAATAAACTGAAAATCGCCTTTTGGTTGTTCTTTTCAATAAGAATGGTGACATACGGTGATTGGGAAATTTCAGCACTGTTTACAAGAATGGACTATGGAATGGGAAATTTAAAAGGGAAAATCAAAATGGGATGAGAAATGGACTGAGAGACTAAAACCCATGTATCTTACACCAAAGCAATATTCGGTAATGTTTTTGACCCAACTTTAAATGAACAGTTGTCTCCAGATAGATACAGCTAACCAGAAAAGAAAGATTACCAGCATCAGTTTACTGCAGATACATGGCACAAGGTATTCAGACTTCCATTGTCCCAGTAACTGATCTCCTCACATGTTTGTGCAGAAATGAGTAGCATTTATTTGTGGGGATACTAGTAAGTTTCTCGGGAATGAGTGTTGGAATTTATGTGGATTTCATAAAGTAGGTAATTCCTGTAACATAGTCGCTAAGAATTTTCAAAGTATAAGAGGATAAGAAAATCCAAAGTATTTGAAAAGGGATAATATATAACAGAATAAAGTGCAAAGAAATGCATTTTTAAAACAGTACCAAAACCTAATGTTATGAACAGGGAATTTATCACTTTAAAAATTAGAGAAGATGGGAGTCCTCGATGTCACTGTAAGATGCACCAAGAGAAAGATTGCTAAGTAGAGTAATTTTAGTGTCCCAGAGTTCAGAGACATAATCTTTTAAATACTGCATAAAGTTCTGGTAACCATATTCAAACAAGGATCTGTTGGAACTGGAAAAGGTCCTGAGGAAGACAACCATGTTGATTAGAGGAAATGGAGAAAAAGTTTATGTAGGAGAAAAAGTTGAGAGAATGTCTGATTTTGTTGATAGATACCAAGAAGGAAGAAGACATATCTAAGCAAATGACAGTGATGGCTTTGGGACACAGGTATATAAACTAATCATGACTAGACTTAGGGTAGAAATTAGAAAGCAGTTAAGACAGACATCAGAAGAAGGACTCAGGGTCTAGAACATCCCTCCAGTAGAGGCTGTAATGACTATAGATAACAAGTTTTAAAATAAGGTTTAGTAACTAAATGGAATTATTTACCTAATTGACAAAAATTCTTTCTAGCATGGGGCTGAACTAGTTACACTGAAACTTTCTGGGAGGGTGAGCTATATTTTATGTTGGCTGCTTCTTTTTTAGTAGTGGCAAGACAAAGAAATGAATTATTTCTAGAAGAACGGCATAATCTATTTAAAGCCCTTGAATGCCTACTGAATTGTTTTCTATCCTGTTCTTTACATGTTACTTAATATGCTTGTCACTTCCAAGTATATATTATCCTGACTTACTCAGAAAGACTCTATGCTTTTTGCAGTTAATTTTCAGAATTAAGCTACCTGTACAAATAGTTCATATTATTCCTCATGGTGTTTTTCCCTCTGTCAATCAGTATGTCGCCCTAGTCACCAGCATTGTGAGGTTCTCTCTTCAGCCTTCTCCAGTCTTACCTAATGAAAGTGATTTTATTTTATCTGCATATCTCAGCCACTGAACCATTAATGAATATATAAACCCTATGACAGTATGATTCATCTCACTGTCAAACTTGTGTCCTGCTCTGAAGTAGCCATTTTATTCCTTCTCTTCAGTCAATACGCTAAAATCAGAAGAAAGCCTTTCAGTTAACGTAACAATCATTTCACCACTTGCTGTGGTCTCTGCTAATTGTAACCTCAGGCAGTACCTCACATCTCTGTTTTTAAGTTCTTAGTTTGCTCAGTAACCCTTAAAAAGGATCTGATTAAAGGTTCTTGAACCTGGATTTGAAAAAGTTAAGGTGCTGTGAATGAAACACAGGGTGCTGTGAATCCAGCAGAAAGACTGCAAGATGGAGAATATATATAGCTGTTGATCTGTCTATCTAACATTTAGACGTTATTTACAGCATCAAAGCCTGGTACTCAGAACACTCTATGGCATTTATTTGGATTCTAGTAATTTCAAGCTTCATTTTCCAAACATAGGCTTTATTTCTGTATTGACATGTAAAAGGATGAAAAAAGACCACTGAGACTCTTCACTTGGAGCTGTTTGAAAGCATGCAAAGGAGAATGCCAAGGAATGTGGAGATGAGGGAAAAACATCAGAAACAAGACCAGCATAGGAAATAACACACAGCTATTTGCTATGAAATACATTAGACGATATATGTTGTTTCAGGGTGGTAATGTTAGTTTATTACATAGAATACACTGCTTCAAACAACAGAAATGTATCATTTATTTCTGGGGAAATAGATCTGCCACTAGATTCCTAATAAGAATTGAAGAGTGCTTCTAGGTTCCCTACCTGTACTCCAAACCCCTTTTGCTCCAGATCCAATTTCTTCTTCTTCCCCTCCATGTGCCTTCTGTCCCACAAGGAGACAATCAAAGCCTCTGGGCCAAAAGCGCTTTGTCTCAGCCTTTAATTAGCTCTCCAGTCTGGATAACCACAGGATCATGATCCAGAGCTTATCACAGAATGTACATGCCAGTTAGCCTAGATACAGCCTCCAAGAGTACAGAATGGCCAAATTCTCATTCTCTAACTGAAAAACAACACCTTCCTTCTTCAGGTATATTCATTGACATTGAAGCAAGGTACTATGCAGTGTTAGGGATTAAAATCTAACCAAGAAATAATTAAATACTCTGCCTAATCACAGTATACATTAAATATTTTCCATTTTTATATTTAAAATAATTTACTGAAAATTGTAAACCATACATAAGTGCTTACTACATACACATAATATTAAAAAGAAGCTGTAAACATGTATCCAAAATAATTCTAATAACAGATTGAAAGATTCTGAAACATATTATTTATGCCTTGGATTCTCATAATACAACATATTTACAAAAAAAAAAAAAAAGACATGGACCAACTTAAAAGCACAGAGGTTAAAGACGGAACACGCAACTAAAACCTGTAGTGTATGTAGAACAATTTTAAGAGGAAGTGGTGCTGCCTCAGAAGGGAATATGGCAAGGGCAGCCAGGCAGTCCACTGACACACTGTCGTCTCCCTTCTCAGTTCCTGTGGAATTCCAGCATCAATAAATACATTCCTTTTCTAGTATCCTCTGGGTAAAAGAGGCAAACTTCATTTGGGGTCTGGATGATCCTATATACAGACTGAAGGATATCTTTACTCACATAAATATTCTGAAGTTAGCCTTTAAAAACTGAAGTAGCAATTAGATAATGTTTATACAAAATTAACAGGACACTTAATTTTCTGTTTCCTACTTTTCATTGTATTACAGCATTTGAATGGTATTTCATACTTTTCATTTCAAATTAAATATAGCAATTAATTTTGTTCTCGAAAAAAGTGTTTGTACTGAAAGACAGTTCTCAGACTGAAATGTCATGAAATACAGAAATCAGGAATCAGGTGGGTATTTCAAATTTCAGTTCTCTGTTCTAACAAGTAGTAGTTGTTCCTCTACAAACAAGATGGTTGGTATATAACTGAGTATCTGTGAACAGATAACGTTTCAGGGAAAAACTGGTTTTTACAAAGAAATCACTGCCTTAGAGGAAGAGCTTTTCTTCCTATGTTCATCCCCATAGCAATCTAAGTAATCTAAGTATCTCAGCATAATGTACAATTGTGATTTATATTTATCAGGTCTGGGCTGTATTCATATTGGGGGTATTGTTGGGTATGGTATTCAGCAATTTATTTTGTGATTTTTTTATTTTTCACTAATCTAAAGTTATAGAAATTCCAAAATCGCTATTACAAGTCTTTCTCAACTTTGCTGTTTCCATTGTCCATTTTATAAGTGCAAACTACTTCTTTTTCTTCATCCTCCTCTTCTGTAAGAAAGGCATTTTCTTTTTTCAGATTTTCAGAGGCATTATGTTCAATGTTATTTAAAGAATTGTCACACTTCAGAAATGTTTCAGAATGACAGATTTCTGCTGGATCTGCCAACATTGGAGAAATTTTTTCTCCAACAATATGAATTAGGCTTATTCTTAGGGTTTGGCATATTTTTGGCTCTCTATTGGGTAGCTCACTATTTGTGCCTATCACAAGATTATTGGGTACTTGTTTGGATATATTATTTTGACAATTGCTGACTTCCATGGATTTTACATTCATATCCTCTAAAACACATAACTTCCCTAAACAGTTTGTGTCTTTCAGAGTTGAAGATGCAAGTATTCCAAAGTTACTAATAAAATCTAAGGTGTTATTAGCATAAAACCTATTAAAAATATTATTGGCAATCTTACTGATGCAGTTATTCTTCAGAGTCACATGATTATTTTTGTCTGTTACTAACCATGGGAAATGTTCATTCTTTTTGGCCAACAAACATGAGCCCAGCTGGTTCTCAATATCAGATGCCTTTCGGTAGGCATATCCTCTCTGTTCCTCATTAACTGGTGTTATTGTCACCATCAGTATTGGACAATGTTGGCCACATATAGCATGGAGTTTATCCAAAGAATCTTCTTCCTGAAGAGCACTTCTGTTAGCATTACTAACATCAGTCGGCTGAGACTGTATGGGTTCAGTGTTTAAAGGTTGTTCCAATGGATGCACCTTGTTATCAGGCAATCTAAATTCTACAGATGTAAAGGTGGGAAAATTGGTATCAGCCTGTATGGAAGGATGCGTGGAAGTAGAACCCACCATGACTGATGGCTTGATCTTTTCTTTCTTTGCTGCAGGAAGGGAAGTAATCTTACCATTGCAGCTAGGTTTGCTTGTTGTACTTAAGTCATCCTGAAAAGGGTCTGAATCACTATTATGAGGTATATTGAAGTAGCTGCAAAAAGTTTCAGGGGGTTTAGCCATGTCTTCAAGTTCTGAAGAAGAGATTTCATTGAGGACTGGGTACTGATTCAGATTGCTGAAGTGCGAGTATGGAACTTCATCACTGTTAGTGTCAAGGACTGTGTCTGTTGATGTTGTATCCAAATTACCATACATTCCAACCCGTTCAGGTGGTGATCGTCTTATCAAATGATTTTCTTTGAGAAGCCATTTGCCTTTATCTATCAATATTCCTTCATCTTCATTAGCTTGTATGCAGGGTTGACAATGCTGCTTTGGATCTTCCCCTAAACGGTGATTAGTATAATTGGTCCCTTCCCTGTTAAGAGTAGCTTGTGGTGTTGGTAAAGAAGTATTTTCTCTTCCCAATAGAGTGTCATCTTTGTTTATGTTTACCGGAAATTCTTGTGATGGTAGTGAAGAATGTGGCAATTTCTCTGCAGAACAAGAACTAGGTTCTTGAGAAAAATAAAAGGATTTTTCCACCACTGCAGAGTGGAATTCTTCAGTATCCTTTTGCAATACTTTCGACATATAAGGAAATCCTTTCGGAAAGTCAGGCTTAAATGAAGCTTCCATCTTGCCATAAAGTCGTTCAATAGTTCTTTTTACATAGCCAGTATTATAATGTTTTTCAATTACTGCTTCCTCCCCACTTTCATTGGTCAAATCACTGGATGCTCTAAAGTTATCATCACTCTCTTCAGTATCCGGTCTGTAATCTGACCAATCTGAAGTAGCAGGACTTTTTAAGCATTTTTTTAATTGAGAACTGTCTGAAAACATTTTATTCTCCAGTTCTTCTATGTGCAATTTCTGTTCTCCTTCACTCATATCACATTCTGTAATTTGCTTTGATTCATAACAAAATGATAATGGAGAGACTGTAGATAACCTCTCAGAGGTTTCTCCACTAGATTCTGCATCTTCCTTGTTTTCCTGTACAGTATAATCCTCATTACTATATTCTACAGAAGTTTCAGCCCCTAGTTTAAGGTGGTTATTTGTTTTTTTGTCATTCCCTGCTGACTTTGGATCAACTTTCTCATCTTCACTTTTATCAGTAGTAACATGTATATCTTTTTCACCTTCCAACTCAGAAGTATCCTGATCTAAAATGTGATTTTTATCATTAGAAGTTATGCTATGAATTGTTGAGTTAGGTTCTACTGAAGTTTCTGACTCTTCATTAGTGAATGAAATATCAGTGGTTTTGTCTTGAGTAATTTTACACAGACTATCAGACATTTCTTCATTTCTTTCAAGTGGCTCTAAAGCTGATTCAAGGCTACAGTTATTTGAATTAGTATTGGCATATTGACCATCTAGCTGTGTTTTGGGAGCACTCAAGTCTAAATTCTCTGTTTCTCTACAAATATCTTTCTGTATATCAAAGCAGCTTTCTAATTCACCAGTCAATTTTAGAGCTTCTGCAGAATTTACACTGTCCTTCGGAATACAAGGCTCAACAGATTTTTCATTTTCATGCAAATGTATACCATTATGAATTTCAGATGTGGGCATATTCTCATGGCATTGTGTGGAGTCCTGCTTTTTGAGTTGTCTCCCAATGTGTAGTAAGTTATTTTCTGTTGATTGTTGAAAATGTGAGAAGGCAGCCTTCAGTTCATCAACTTTTTCTATGACTGTGTCTTGTTTCAGAAATTGCAACTGCGTACATATTTCAGAACAGCTACAGGTAGTTTTTTGCATATCATCTTTAATTGTCCCAATCAAACTCTCTCTCAGATTCAGTACAAGTAGCCAAGCTAAGAGGACATTGGAGGAAGAACCAAAAGCTGAAGGAGAAAGATCTGAAAGGCTGCAAGCTTTTCCTATACATCCACTATGTTCTTTCTGGAGACCCAGCAAAGTTGACTGTAGTTCATGTAGCAACATGCTAGACATGCAACTATTCTGAACATCAATTCCCATTTTCTCATTCACAATTGCACAATCAACTTGAACAGCAACTTCAGATTTTTTTCTGTGACATAGGCTGGTATCTTGAATATCAACTTCTGACATCTTTTTGCCTTTGTTATGTGTTTCATAAAACAAGTGTACCTTAGCATCATGATGAAATTCTGATTTTAGTGAATACTTGGCTTCTTCTATTATAGTTGTATTAGCATGAATGAAAGAGTCAGTTTGGTTTTCACCTGAATCTTTGGCTGATTCTTTTAAAGTTCCCAATTCACAAATAGGCTTTAATGTTTTTTTGGTTAGATTATGTTCATCCAGATAGTTCTTTCCAGTTGCATGCCCTTTATCTGTGATAAGTCTTGCTTCTTTATCTTTAGAAACATCAGTATTTTCTTTAGGAAAATGAGAGACATTGCAATTCTCTATATGCCGTTCTTGTTTATTTATAGGTGGTAAGACAGAATTTGGTGACAAGTTCTTCAGCCAAGTTTGGACATAATTTTCAAGCGAATGCTCAACAACCTCCTCTTGACAATCCTGTTTTAGAGCCTCTAGTGTAATGTTTCTCTCTGACATATTTAACTTATTTGCACTTTTACTTAGATTTTTCTTCATCCTCTTTTGCTTTTTCTCTTTCTTTGATGACGTATTTTCCAAAATATTCTTTTCCATATCTTTTTCAAAGTTAAGACTCTTTGGCAATTCTGATAATGGTTTTGAAATCATTGGTGAGTTAGATGTCTCTTCGAAAGAACTGGCTGTGAGTTGTGTGCCTTCTTTCTCAGTACTCAGTGTACCCTGACTGTGTTCAGATTCATTGTTTGAATCAACTGTCATTAGACCATCTTCACTCTTTGCAGATGAAACGATACTATTTTTTTTCCCTGACTTCAATTTTACCTTGGCCAGCTTGCTGCTATTACTTCTTGGTTTTTTATGAGATGATACTCCATTTTGTTCAACTGAATCCTGGTTATAGAACTCATCTTCAGGACATATGCTTTTGTCTGAATTGACAAACTCATCGTTGTTTTTTAGAAAAAATTCTGTTCCTTTTTTCTGAGGTATTTCAGAATAACTATCCATAGCCTCTGTTGTGGAATCCTGTGTGTTTTCACTGGTGATATGCATTTCCTCACTTTCAGTTATCCCTGAAATTTCTTTATCTTTTTTATTTTCATATGTACCCTGCTCTACAATGTTAGAAGATTTTCTTTTCTTCTTGTTTTTGGTGAGTGAAGATGCAGACTGACTGTCATCAATGAGCTGTGTTGCCATCACAGATTCAGTCCTGATATTGATTTGATTCTCCGTTTCAGTAACAGTAGGAAAGGATCCAGTTGTTGGGTTTATTTTCTCAGTAGGTGATTTACTACATGGAGGTACTATCATCTTCATCTGACTGTGTCCAGGACAGGCTGAATGCACTGAATGTTCAGAAATAGGTAATAAATCAAAAGCTTTGCAATTTGTTTCTTCTTTTGACTGACATAATTCTGAATATCTAATGAAAGAACTCAGTGATCTTTTTATTTGTTTAATGTCACATGACTTATGGATGTGGTCTGCTAAACCTGGCCTAGCTGCCTGGTAAATTTTTGATGATGGTATGAAACCACTGATGTTAGCTGTGCAGGTTGTTACTAAACTATTATATGTCCCTTGTTCCACAACTGATTTCTCAAATATATTCTGTACCCGTTCATCCTCATCAGGCACTTCTGATGTCTTCCTATTTGTATTTTCTATTAAATCATTAGTATTGCGGCTTACTTTAAAAAGCATTTCTTCTTTTATATTCTCTGAAGAAAGCTTTAATAAATCGTTGTCACTCATCTCCCTAAACTTTGGATCAGTGACACTTGATGTTTTTCTACCTGAATGAGCTACCATACAATACTCAGATTTTTTTTCTCCATTCTGTATTTCTTCACTGTAGGAAAACTGTCCTATTGTCTTCTCCTGAACCTCTTTCTCAGATACCAAGGTGACACTTTCAACTACTGCTTTCTTTTGTCTAACACGCCTTGGCCCAGGGGTGGGAGGCCTATAAAAGTGAGGTCTGATATTATCCTCAGGTACATCGCTCACATCTAGGTCTGCAGAATCATTTTTATTACAGATATTACAACCAGCAGTTTTTAAATCAGACTCTGATTCTTTGTCTGACACTTCTGCACTGAATTGCTGCAACGAGTCTCCCTCTTCTTTAACGTAGGTCTTCAAAAGTGGGGCATCTTTTGGTTTTATACATTCTGATGCATTTACATTGGATAAGCAGTCTTGCAATGCAGAATTGCAAATGGCAGTATTTTTGTCACCAGAAAGGCCAGCACGACTTACAGTGGTTGTCCATTTAATGGTTTCTTCCTCTTTAATTTTGAATCGAACTTTCATTTCCACTGTGATACTACCATCTTGATTAAGGTGGACAGATTTCTCGATGTCATCTTCATACTGTGCCACAGATAAGTCTTCACCAGTAACTGACTGATTTCCTCCTATGCCATTATGACTGTCAGGAACATAGGAAGATTCTGAGTTGTTACCATTTGAGTTGTTATCATTGCTGGAACCTTTATCAGAAGAAACTGAGAATATCTGAGATCTTGAGCTAGAGCCCATTTCAGCTCTCACTACCAACAATTACATTGAAAGAAGCCAAATTCATTCAGTAGATGGAAAGTAGAGCAGACAAATATCATGGATAAGGATCCAGACGGTGAGACAGCAGAGAGGCAGCATAAGAAAAGAAAAGAAGGATAAAAATTAGTACAAAAGAAGATAATGAAGTGTGTTTATTTTACAGAGTGTTAAAAAAGTAGAGAGAAAAACATGGCTAATCTTGCTGTTCATTTTAAGTTTTTAGAGAAACAAGTATAACCAATATTTAATAAGGAATCAAGAATTTAATTACTTTTCCACTTAATTTTATTTTGCAATAAGTTCTTTCTAATGACACAGCTACAGTCTTACTTGAAGCTCCAAAGCCTAAAGAAGTGCTAAATGTCTTCATTTTATACTTAGCTGGGAGCTGAGATTGTCTTGAATCTTTCAAGGGATCCACAGGCTCTCGCTTGTTTGTGCTTCAGGCTACCAACTTTACTTCCTCTTTGTGTTTTTGAGATCATTAATATATCATTTCCTCTTAGGTCTTACAGTTAGTGCTAAAATGTGTCAGTCAAGGTGAACATATATCTCCCTGCGCTTAATACAACTATCTACAGCATATGATTACTGTGAGTAGTGTCACTGACACATGAATAAAGGGTTCAGATCCAATCATCTGGACTGATCTTCTATAGAAAAGTAAACATTGAAGTGTCTGAACTTCTTATAAAGTCCGAATTTAAATCATGACATTCTGAGATACTTTTTAGGCTACAGTACTACAGCTGATGGTGAAAAACTCAGTAAAACCAATGGGAATATTTACAGACTTCGGTGAATTTTAAGCATGGCCCAATATGTGTTTGCATACACATTAAATATTCCCAAAACATGTTTTGATTACTCTGTAATAACTTGGCTTTTAAAAAAAATATATATCTCATCTCTCTCTAGCAGTTGTCACTGTAGAGGTGAGAGCTAAAAGAACACGCGATAAAAATAAAGTTTTGCTGTCTTCCAAGAAGTTCTACATGTGCGAGGGAAACAGCACATGTACACCCACACAAAGACATCCGCAACTGCTACTGATACCTAAATATATAGGAGTCACCATTTAATAGAAAAGTTTCACTTGCAGAAAGTATTTTAACAACACGCACTACTATTAACTTGCTTGAATTTAAGCACTCTTTTTTTGCTCAAGTGAGTCACAAATGGTATCATACCAAGACTTTCACAGTTAACATATTACTGTTATAGATACATGTCTATAATTTCAGGCAGAGTGCCTTGCAAGTTTCCCAGGCATATGTTTTCTCATGTACTGAATCAGAAATGAAAGTTTGCGCTAACTCCTTTAACACAGACCAGACCTTATGCTTCCCAAAGTAAAAATCTCACCTTCTCTGTCTCAGGAAATGAAATTGGAACAAAGTGCCTGAAATTTGATTTTTCAGGCTCCCACGTCATCAGTGATGTCTCCTACACAGGATACTTCTGAATTTCTCAGGTTAAAGACAAAAATAAGGTTGGGTTTTTTTCTCCTTTTCTCTAATTGCTGTTAACTAAGGATTAGAAGAGGCAACTTACCAGCTTCTCAACTACTCACATTTTCTACCTTTGTAAGGCTCAATGTCTGGCTCAAAGCAAAATTTGGGTAAGATTTTTTTTTTGTTTCTGCAGAACTTTCAGTCTCAAAATGTTCCTACTCATTCTCTCTTGACTCATTAGTTATGCTCTGCAAACAACTCTCAAGCTGTGCAAGTCAAAGAACATGAAGGTTGAGAAAAACTACAATGAATAGCTTGGTGAGGACATAATAAACTGCGAGGGACGTGGAAGAAAACCCTTTGAGTAAGTGGAAGTCAAGGGTCTTATGTATGAATGTGCTCCATGACACAGTCAAGATTACCATGGAAAGTCTCAGTACAGAAACAATTACAGTGCTCCCTGGGTCTCCAGTGCAGCATACAGCTGTGTCAAGAGTACAAGGTACCTCAGGATTAAACAAGTTTCCCCTGTGACAGTACCTCTTTCCTACAGCATGCTCTAGTGCTGAGGATCCCCACATGACCTAAAGCTCTGGTACGGCAGCATGTTATTCTCCTCAACCTCAGACTACTCAGCTAGCCTGGCTTCTCTCTAACAGCTCCTCACGCACTTGATCAATCACTGGCCACGAAATGCTCTTACTGAGCTTGTCAGCGGCACAACTCCAACAGTAATCAAAGGGAAAGTACATATTTGTGTACCTTTTCCCAAACTTATCCCAAAAACATATGTCACAGCCATGAGGATATAGGAAAGAATGAAACTCTGTTTCGGGAAAAGCAGCTTCAAAAACATGCTGAAATTGTGAGTGGATAATGTTTTCCTGTTCATGTGGGACATGGGGCATGGGAAAAAGTGAAAAGCTTGACGACGACAAGTCAAACCTCCACTTGCCAAGGTAAATCCTGAAAACTTCACTAAAGTTTTGCTCCAGAAATTCAGTCAGTTAAGAGCCTGGAGTGGGTTGTGGCTTCTCTTTTACCCCTGCTGTTATTAACTGTGACACCAAAAAATTAATAACAGTAACATTAAGTGCATTAAAACAAAATATACTTACAGATTTGCATCCTTGTTCTAAATAAGTCTGAAAGAAAATATGCATACTAGCTGAGCACTTAGCAGAAACTTATATTTTAAAAGGAACATTAACACTTTGATCTTTCTTATGCTTATAGAGGAGTCAGAGCAGATATAAACAGTTTCAGCTGGCCTTTTTGAACATCCTTGATCCTAGTAAGATTGTCATGGTTTGTGTCTTATGCTGAGAGAGATAAACGAATTAATAAAATACAAATTAATTCAAAGAACTTACTATTTTCACTTTCTGACTTGCTATTTCCTTTTGGGAATACACGATTTGCAATTCCAAGCAATTTAGCAGGCCGTGAATACTCAAGAGAATCATAATTGCTTGGTTTAAAAGGCTCTCTCCCCGCTGCGACTACAGTTCCAGAACACAGTATCAGGGCCTGAAGATTAGGAACCTGGAAAAAAAAAAAATATTACATTCTCTGCCTTAGTAACTACAAAAAATAACGTGAGAGATTTATCCTTTTCATGCTTTAATATCTTCACTTCTTCGTCTCTACATTAGTTTGCAGCAGGCTATTAAATATGTATCACAGTACAGAATTAATTTTTCAATTCCTATAAGGCCCTTTCTATCTCTGTGAGGCTATGTCTTGTTGCATAAATATATTAGAAAAAGACTTTGAGAAACAACTTGGATACATATCAAAATTTTCTTATAATTTAAGGGTTTGCCTATGTAATTTTATTTCACCGTTGCACAGTGATTGTACATAGCCATGGAATAAGAATATGCATTTGGAGGTAGGTATACATATGAACATATATTTGGAGGAGGAAAGGGGAAATTCAAAATACACCCCAAGTACCTGACCTGAACTGCCACAGAGGAACAGGACAGAATCACAGAACCATATACAGTGGAAAAGACCTCTGGAGGTCAAGTAGCCTAACCCTCTGCTCTGAGCAGGGCTGACTGGATCAAGGTGCCCAGAGCCTTGTCTAACAGTTTTGAATTTATTGCACAATATATTGCAAGATAAGGCTTACTAACTGCACTTCACTGTCTTATAGGTGATGTGGATGTTTTCTCAACCTAATACAGAATTTCACCAAATGGAAGGGCAAGAAAAGATCTCCCTTAAACTCTTGGAGCTCTGCATGAAATTATCTTTCCACATACCACAAGTGCTTTTCTGTGGTTAAACAGACAAATAGAACACTGAGATAAAATTATATAAAACTGCACGTGAGAGGAAAATCAGGATTATTAGTGCTGCGTCATCTGGGTTTAAGATACAGAACCTGGTCCATGGTTTGAAATTATAACAGACAATCAGGTGTCATAGTTCCAAGTCATTAATGGCAAACCATTCTGCATTTGTGTAATGATAAAATATGTGTGGCTATTAGACGCTACTTATCGTATTTTAAAACTTTAAAAATCACAGGTAAACAACATTAAGACTAAAGGAAGTTTCTGCATAAGAGGGTAAAAATACAAAATTGAGAACATGCCTGAAAGAAGCCTGAGTAAGAAAAAGAGAAGTGTTTTTTCATGACGACTTAAAATAAAATTTCCTCACTTTCTTCTCCCTGATCAAAAGATTCCAGTATATTTCCTCCAAGCTAGTAGACTTCTTGAAGGGGAAAAGGCATAGAAAGGAAACAGCTGAAATTCAGCACATTAGATCTTACACCAGGCCAGTGTCCCAAGCTTTTAACTGATGAAATCATCTTTTTGATTAAAAATAATCTAGAAACAATCATAGAAAAACTGTCAGTACTCATCTTTATTCTCACCTTTCTGCCATCAACAGTATATAGTTTCACAACTGGATATTGCATTAACTCGCTCATATAATCCAGAAAGGCCTCAAACGTCTGTGTGTTTTTCTTTCCCAAAACTATGGTGCGCCTGAGTCTTACATCCCCATTTTTGAAAACAAGCATCTTTTTGGGAGTTGTTATTTTGCTTTCTCGATGGCCAAATCCATCTTCGTTCTCCCTTGCTAATTGTACAGCTCGACGACGGGCGCTGACAGGCCTACTGATCTGCCAGGGGAGAGGTTTTTTGCTAGCCTGTTCCAGGTTGATAGGCTTCATTTTCCTCTGATGGGAGCAAATATAAGATTTTCCATCTTCAAGATCCTCCAAATTGGTGATGCTGTGTCTCCCTTTTGGTGTACTAATATTCCTTACTCCAAAAGGTAATGGGACCCGTTTGGATAAACTATCCAGCAAGGCATCAAATGTTTTATAAGACCGGTTATTAATGACCATTTTGATCCCATTAAACTGAGGATCTCCGCTTTTATAGAAACAGATCCGTTTTGCCACAACAGGTTCAGTAACATTGAAATGGCGCGTGGATAAACTTTGTTCACTCTCAGAGGAGTTTGGCTGATTCACCGAGTAACTAGTTGAAGGTGTTTCACTCATTTTGACAGCAATCTGTAAGAAAGAAGAGATAGATGTAAAACTTTTCTTACGACTAGTAAAAATACAGTCTTCATTTTGAAAGGTGGAGAAAGAGAATCTATAAGAAACAAACAGCAGCAAGTTGTGCCAAAAAATCATTGGATTTAAACGGATCCAAGCTGTTATCTCTAAATTCCACAAAGACTCTAGTACTGTCAGATTAAGTTAGCATAGCTCTACTTGCAAATATTCCCAAAACTCTCCAATGTAATTTCAAATCTCTTATCATTTTGGTACAAGAGATCTTTCCTTAGAATAAGGTAATTTGTCAGTCCAGAATGATAATTAGATGTTTTCTTTCTTGAGGATGAAGCTAATGACAACATTTCATATTTAAGATATTAGCAAAATCCTTATTAGGAGGGAGCAATTTGTGCCAAGGCATGAGCCATACACAGTTCAAAATAACAAAACTGAAAGACAATAAAATTTGTTCTCATCTCCTGTACTAGTTTTAGACCAGGACAAATTCATTGGAGTCAGAGGAAAGGCTCCAGATTTACTACACTGTAAACAACACCAGAATAAGGCATGAAACATTCTTTAGAGTGAAGTTGCACCATAAATTGACAGACCATTTCCTTTTCTAAGTTTTATATTTCATAATACATAAACAACTACAATATTTGCATTTATACTGAGGGAAAAACAACTGATCAAATATGACTCTTTTTGGTAGCAGAAAAGTATGGCTAATCAAATAATCAGCCTCAAGGAAACAGTTTTAGGAGAGTTCTACTGAAAAGATGTATAGCAGTCTCAGAGAATATGTTTGTCATCAAAACAATATAAATCAAATTCTTTGACAATGTCACCTTGATGTAGCTGTCATCCTGACTAATTGAACAACCGCTTCTGGCTACTACATATTTTTCTTAATGAAGCTATGGAAAACAATATTTTAATTATTTTACGACTATATATCAGTTCTGAAACGGATAAGAAAATGTTGCCACTTTTCAAGACAGTCAAGGTCTAAATAAATAAAGTCAGATTTGACAAGATTTTATCTTACTGTGTTCTTACAACTTTTCCAATAACGCATTGTTTCCAGCTTGGGTCTTTTACCTTCACTAAGAGTTAAGAACTTTTAAGATGTTCATTGTTTTGAAAAATGATCAGAGCACAGGAAGAAATGTGTCCTTCTCATACATTATTTATGCTGTAAATTGTACTCATTCTAAGTGCTAAAACTGAAAAATAAGGTAAAAGGTCTGCACCAGAATGATGTACACAAAGATTGCTTTAGGTAATCACAATTCTATTAAAAAAAAAGAACAAACAAACAAACCCCTGTAATTAAGGAATATGCAGGAAGACATTTCCAAGCCTGGCTGCAGCAACTTATACAATCCAGTCCATGATGGCCAGAGAAATCGCTTACTTTCTGTGGCAGGAAGGAGCTCCACTTCAACTGAAATCACTGATAGGTACAGTTGCTCATCTTTTTTGACACATCTATTCAATAGCTGCCTAAATTTTCGTTACATTTCTAAACTGAGAGGTTGACTGGTGAGTTACGATTAAGAATGCTATTTGAACCAGCCATTTTATGCTTCATGCGTCATTCTGTTTATACTGATATTCCTGGAGGAAACCTATAGGGGCATTTTTATTGCTAGCTGCAACACAAAGTTTTCTACTCTCTTTGTGGAGCAAACGTTCTACTCCAACAAAAGCAGCAATGACAGTAGTAAAGTTCTTGAGTGAACTGAATGTTGTGTTGCACTATTCAACTGGCCAAGAAGACTTGACCTTGCTAACAATGCCCAGTACAGGATCTCTGGGGAAGGGGAGTAAACTGTTAAGTCATCATCAATAATTGCCAGAGACAGAAATGAACAGACATAGCTCCTCAGCTACTCTGTGCTATGACTTCTCACCCTTTATGGAAATGGAGTGGAATTTCATCTAACTCTATGATTCTTCACTCTTACAAGAAATAAAATACGTGGATTTTCTCATGAGATTACTGATAATAATTGTTTTTAATTTAAGTCATTCTGAATATTTGTACTTATGTAAAATATTCAATTCTGTGACCATGTCCTGTATCTCTAAACCCAGCACAGCATCATTTGGAAGAGAAATACAATACATTTTACATAAAGATAATTATTAGACTGAGTGCTGACACTGTGGAATGAAATCCAAAACAAACAGAGAATACAGATATAAAGACAAAGGACAGTTTTCATTTTCAACATGAAATCATTTTCATTCACAAAAGTAACTAAGGAAAAGAAGTTTTTCTAAGCAAAACATAAAATTAATGATAAAACAGACAGTTTTGGCAGAGAACTGATGGTTGCATAGCACACCATGTATGAAAGAAATAATGGTTGCATAGCACACCATGTATTAATTCTTTCTATTAATGACTTTAATAGTGGAAATCACTTATGCAACATTCAGATACCTTTTAATTGCATTTTACAAGTAGCAAACATTCCAACAAACAAATAAACAATATGCTGTAGAAGTTACTATTTCATTCTACAGCAAATCACACTGTTAATACCTCCATTTCATCTTAAATGTAACATCAAATTTCATACTTAAATAATTTTATTCTAAAATTAAGAAATAGCTAATATTACATGACACACAATGTCAGTTCAGATATTTTGGCAATTACAATGTTAAGAATTTTATTCTGCAAAAGAATGAAACAGAATTCAGAATTGAATCCCTTTGACTGCATTTTCATAAACAAAACCACTCAAAGTTAATGCCCAGAGCTGCTAAATTTTATAAAGACAAAAGTGGAACACTTTGTTCTAAATACATAAGAATATGTCTAATGCCATATAGCTGGTAAATATTGCATATAATTTCATCATACTCACCCACAGTCACACCCTATGTAAATAAAAGAGTAGTTAGCTTGTTTTCGGAGATAAATAAATTGTACATGTGACTGTCTATGCCATATGAAATGAGCATCCTTAGTCTTATTCCAAGCACACTCAGATAGAAAAGACATCATAATCCATTTGCTTAATCTCAGCTAATGTTAATCACCAGACAAGGTTCACCTCAGGTAGCCATTTTTCAGAGCAGAGTATCTAACATTTCCTTCAGCAAGTCATTTAATATGATTTTTAAACTTTATTTATCTTTTTAATATTTTATTTATATAATTTTCTCTTTACTTAGATTGCTCAAGAGACTCACAGAACCACATCAAATAAAAATGTGGGTGGGGAACGTGGGTCAACTAATCTATCTTCTTCTCAGTGTAGGGTTATCCTCCAAGCTAAATTCTCTAGTGATGTAAATTTTAAAATATGTTAAAATAGAGATCCTACCACTCACCTTCTGAGGCTATTTATTAACTACCTCCTGGCATTAATTCTTGCTTTTGTTCAATCATTTGGTAAAGAAGGGCAATACAACACATAAATATGTGTGAATGTAGTTTAAGAAGAGATGGGAGGACTACTTCTAACTGCAGCTTAAATTATACCACAGAATATGCCGGTTCTTTTCTTTTTCCAGTGGAAATATTATGTCCCCAGACTGTGACTGTTCCATCTAATTGCTACCAGATGTATAATCTGATTTGGAGCTTCTTTGCTTAATCAGGATTACAGCAAACTCTCCAAACTAGCTATGTAGAACAGCAACAAAACCACTGCTCAGTAGCCACTACTTCTGCATGCCATGATGAGTTTTAAACTACTTTCCTTAGTGGAGAATTCAACGTTTATATAGAGGCATTTTAAAATACCCCTTCAGTGCCACTTTCATAAAATGCATAGGCACAAACATTAAACAATAATCTCGCGCAGATATTTCACTATAAAGATTGCTTTCTTAAACATTATATTAATATAAATATTTAGATCCTTAATCTCTCTTAGCTAATGTGCTGCTTATAGTCCAGTAGGTATTCTGCTGTTTACATTTGTTCAGAAGATTAATTCTCTGTGTGTTCTGGTGTCATATAACTTAACCACTTATACAGGAATTTTTATATGGTTGATTTTCTTTTAAGTGGAGGATCTAAATCATCATTGCTACCCTCATTAGGGTAGCAGGGGAAACAGTGCATGAAAAGCCACTTTTGATAATCAGCTAATCCATCAGTAGCTTCCATGCACCACTAGAATTTGAGACCCAAGAGATAACACTGCTGGGACCTGGTGAAGATGATGAACAAGTGTTGCCATTTGACGGTATGAATGCCCCTTCATTCTGTAAGACCTCAAAAGGCTTACATAGCTTCTGTCCAGATATATGTAACGTGTTACACTGTTCCTTCTTGTACTACAAACACTCCATATATTCTGAAGATATAGAAAAAATCATCAACCTCATAGTAAAAATAGCATCAATAAGAATTATGTTTAATTCAGAATTAAAGCTAACAAGCCACAAAAAATTATCACAGTCCTATAGCAATAAATATTGGCACATTTTTCATCCATCCATGGGGACAGCTTGACTAACATCCATGGAACTACTAAAAAGATGTGATAATGATTTTTGCCTTAATATTTGGAGAACACTTTGTCTTTTTATATAAACCATTCTTAAAGAAGAATTGGGGAATATAAAATTAGTCCAGAAAATTTAAGAAGGCAAAATTAGGCCACATGAGAAAACATAACAGTGATTAAAATTGTAATTGCAAGCAGGATTACAATTGTCTTGTTTGCTGTCATTCTCACTTTTAAATTACATGTCTGTTTATCTCCAGAACATCTTCAGCTCTCAGTTATGATACTAAACATTACATTTCATAGAATCATAGAATCACAGAATGGTTAGGGTTGGAAGAGACCTTAAAGATCATCTAGTTCCAACCACCCTACCATGGGCAGGGACACCTTCCACTAGACCAGGTTGCTCAAAGCCTCATCCAGCCTGGCCTTGAACACTTCCAGGGATGGGGCATCCACAACATATCTGGGACACATGTTCTAGT